CCAGCGCACCGTTGATCCAGTGAGCAGTTCAGAGTCAGTCGGTGAGCCTCCTTGTATTTTGGAGGATCCATTTCATTGTTTTTTAGTTTAGTTCATTAGGATGTTGTGGGGTTTGTCCCAACATCCATCTCAGTTGTTATTAGAGGCTTCATAGACAGTCAAATGTTAGTTCTTTAGTCTTTTTATTGTCATTATTCCATGTTGAGACTTGAGTTTGCCTTAATGGCCAGTTGAATGTTCCTTTATAACATTCCAGTTTATTATATGAACTTATCTTTGTTGAGTTTAAGTCTTCCGCTGAGTTAAGTATGCCAGGCCAAGGGTTCGCTTGGGGCCAGCAACGGTTTTCAAGTGCCGGCCACATCCAGGGTGTAGGCTTGGGGCGTGATAGTGAAGAAGATGAGGAAGGTGGGGTGTGAAAAAGAAGAGATGTGGGGGTGGGGTTTAAGAAATATTTTGATGTTTAATTTTTTTTTTACTTTAATAATTATCTAACGCTCTGACACGCATGATTTTTTTTAATTATTATTATTTTTCCATGTCAGCTTTAGGGGTAAATAAATTCACTTTTAAATAGCAGAGGTGTGTAATATGTCGTCATGATAGTTTAAGCGTGTAACTAACTTTTCGATACAAATTCAAGGGAAAATCTATGTCTTTTCCCTTATTTAAAATGTGTAACTTATTACTAATAGAACTATATAAACAATACATATAATGATTGTTCTAGTAAAAAGAGTTTTTTAACGTTAAATTGATAACAAACTTACCTAAAACTAATAATTTAAAACAAATTTTCAAAGAAATCATCTATAGTAAAAAAAGAAATTAAGTAATAATTTGCATCTAATGTCTAAAGTCTTTATTAAAACCCCAAATAAATTGAAATCAGTACTATAGGACCTATTCAACCGAATTTTAGGAAGTTGTTACACCTTCTCATCACTAATTCATCAAACTGCGGCCGTGTGGGGCTGTCTCCTTGAAACAACAATAATGATAGGCTATACCATTATTGCAATTTGCAGGACTCCCTTCGTTTTATATTATTTTTTTATAAAAAATATCACAAAATTTCTCCCTTAATTTTTTTTTAAAAAAATTTACACTCTTCTAAAAAAAGAATAAATTATAAAGGTATAATGAAATATTTATAGTTAATTATATCTTAATTTTGTAAATTGAAAATCAACTTGGTACGAATACTTATAGTAAATTAGACAACATATATGAGGCGAAGGAGTAGCAAAGAATAGTGTTTTGCTTTTTCTGTCACTTGCTAGAAAAAATATTCATTTCGTTTCAATTTATTAGTTTTTTTTTTTAAAAAAAATATGTTTAAATAGGAGTAATTTTTTTATTAAAAAAATATTTAATTTTAATTTTATGGTAAATCATACAAATCAATTTAAGACTATAAGATTAAAAATTTCTTTTAGTCTTTTTAAATTTCGTATCAAGATAGAATCGGACAAGCAAATTCAAGCAAATAAAGTAATAGTAATATACAATATGCATGCAGACAAATAGATGTTGGTCTATATAAATATCATGTCAATTGTAGCTGATTTTGCTATAGAACAAAAAAAGAAGAATTATTAGGCTATATAGAATTATAGATGATGATGGTATAGTAAAATATATTTTGTTGTTTATGTATGGACAATTACTTCATGTTATTGGCCTTGTCTGTTTCAAGAATAATCTCGTGTTATGTTCCACAATATTTTTCATGAAAAAAATATTAGTGAATTTATTTTTAATTTTTTTAAATATTTGATAAGTAAATAAAAAAATATAATTATGTCAAAATCATTTGTATATAATCTAGTAGAAACATTATGAAAATGAAATGTGGTAGGAAGTGAAGGTAGCGGAGTGGCGGGATGTGGGATGATCACGGTCCGTGACTTATGGAGTAGGAATTGATGGAGTTGAGTGGGTGGAATAAAGACCGAGCTTGAAATGTTACTATATTTCAAACTTGTTTTCTCTACTTCGATTAGAAAAGTCGTTTTTTCTCAATTTTTGAGAAACTAATTTTCTTAGAAAAATATTTTTTAATGAGGTGTGACACACCATATTTACTTAATTGAATAGATCTTGAAATATTATACATAAAAATCATAATATCTAGTCACCACACTTGGGGGACAAAAACTATGTAAAGACATGTTGATGCATACATACATAGAGATAGATTGATGGAAGCACAAAAGTTTGGATAAGTATTTCAATAATTCAATTGAATGATATCATCAAGGCCGATTGCTTCTCTCGAGATAGTAATGAGGAAGGAAAATGCTTTGTCTATCGATGTAGTTTCAAGTCTTCGATGTCCCTTGGATACTGACAAGAATTGTACTTCTTTTGTCAAAATTATAGACCAGGTATTTCTTCTTCTCCTTCAAGTTCTACTGCACTCTTCGATCAAGTAAACCAACCCACAGAAAAAAAGAAATCTTTTACACTGATTTATCGTACTCTCTCGACCAAGTCATCATAAAAAATACGGAAAAATCTTTCCAGAGTGAGAGAAGCAATCGATATGACTATTCTTTTTCTTAATATGAAATTTTGATTTTGAGTTTTGAATATAAAATATCCTTAATAAAAAGCGTTTTCTCCCTCGAATGAGCCCTACGTAAATATTCGTAAGGCGCCAATACAAATATCATACATCGATATTTCAATTAAATGGACAAGACAAAATGCTTCTAAGCATGTTGCACATGTATCACAAAACTAAGACAAAAGGAAAACATAAAATAATGACACAACCCACAAAATGTTTGGAATTCATCCATTTGTGCGTCACCATCAGAATCATCTTTCCCTTAGTCTCCTTTACTGTCTTTTTCAAAAAAAAAAAAAGAGTTCTTTTTCTTTGTCCCCCCAATCCCCATAGCCACAACCTTTGACCCTTACCTTTAATGCACTGTTGATCCCTTAAGTCTCCTTTACTGTCTTTTTCAAAAAAAAAAAAGAGTTCTTTTTCTTTGTCCCCCCAATCCCCATAGCCACAACCTTTGACCCTTACCTTTAATGCACTGTTGATCCCTTAAGTCTCCTTTACTGTCTTTTTCAAAAAAAAAAAAGAGTTCTTTTTCTTTGTCCCCCCAATCCCCATAGCCACAACCTTTGACCCTTACCTTTAATGCACTGTTGAAAAGGATTTAAGTTATATATACTGATTTGGTAAATAATCTTCCAATTTAATTGGTTACAACGCGTTAGTATTCCACTTTCTAGGTTACCATGTCAGGCTCGTTACGAAGAGTTACATGTTATTTTCGATCAAGTTAACTTGACAATGCACAAAACTTAAACTTTAGAAAGAAAATAAGAAACTCCCTAGCAATAGTTCCAAAAGGATTTCTTGAATTACTTAAAAAGAATTCATTTCATTGTTTTCAACTCAAGAGGCACTTTTGTAATAGAAAACCAAAATCAATAAAATAGCTATAGCTAAAAAAAATTGAGAATATTTTCTTTTTGTTCTTTTCCTTAAACAAAAAACTTAAGTTCTAGTGCTAGCAATTGTTGCATTGCAATGCAACTCCTCAAAAAATCAAAGAGTCAATAGGAAGGGCAAAGAATTAGGATGAGACCTTGGGTTTTACGTGTCACCATTGCCGGTCGTGGTTCTTCAGGAGAGTGAAATTTGATCAACACGACAACCTTCGAGCATGAACACAGTGTCGGTCATGGTGGGACGATCAAGGGGGTCCGGTGCTGTGCAAAGCAAGCCTACTTTTACTCCTAATAAAAACTCTTCCCATTCTGATGATTCAGGGTCCAGTTCAAGCAATCCTGGCTCTAACAATTCTGAAATTTGCCCTCTCTGTAATTGCCTCTTTACCCATTTCACAATGTCCTCATCCTGCGAGAACATTAACGACTTTTTCCCTGTTAGCAGTTCCAGTAATACAATGCCAAAGCTATAAATATCTGATTGCCTTGTGGCTTCTCCTGTTAATGTTGCTTCTGGCGCCACATAGCCTATAGTCCCAACTGATGTTGAAGAGGAAGGTTCGACTGGTGTGGCTACAGTAAGCTTGTCTAAGCCGAAGTCTGAAAGATGGGCTTCAAAGTCTGCATCAAACAGTACATTTTGTGGTTTAACATCTCCGTGAATAATAGAGGCTGCGTGGAGGAAAGCAAGCCCACGGGCAATGCCAAGTGCAACGAGGTGTCGCATTGGCCAATTGAGAACATGACCACCATCTTGATGAGATGCTTCTTGAAGGAGTGTTGCAAGGTTCCCGTTTGGCATGTAATCATATGCAAGTAGTCTAAGGTCTGGAGGGCCAGCATAGTACCCGCGTAGAACAGTTAGGTTTCTGTGCTTCACTCTGCCAAGCGATTCAGCCTCTTTTCTGAATGTGTTTTCATCTAGTGATCCATCTGGTAGTCTACAGATCGAGAGCAACATTCCATCACTGTAACATGCCTTGAATAGGACTCCGTGGCGTGTTCTGCTAAGAACATTTTCCTCATCAAATTCCCTAGTTGCTTCGATTGTTTCAGCGACTGTAATTCTGTTATTGAACATAACAAGTTTTGGCCCAGCATTGTTGCCACTGCCACGAGAACCACTGGTCCTCGAACTAACCCTTGCAGGGCTATGCTTCTTCTCTCCAGCTGTTTTTTCTTTGAGCTTCCTACGCCATCTCAGCAAGGCGTATATGTAAAAACAGCAGCATGATGCAAGGAGAAGACCTCCACTAGCAGACACTGCAATAAACATAATCAGTCTATTCTTACCATTACCAGTTCGCTCACATTTTCTATTCAATGGCTCCCCACACAAACCCTGGTTGCCACTGAAATCCGATGGATCGTTAAAATGAGAACCGAGCTTCACTGGTATCTGGCCTTCCAACTTATTGTTCGATACATTGAAGTTCACCAACTTTGGGAGCACTGTAAGATTTTCTGGGATTTTTCCACTCAAGTTGTTTCCGGAGAGGTCAATGGTAATTAAGCTTGATAAGCTGGAGAGTGATGCTGGAATGTTTCCCGAAAGATGGTTCGTGTCCAGCACAACTGATGTGAGGGATGAACAATTGGAAATAACTTCTGGAATTTCACCTGTCAGGGTATTTCTACCCAAATCCAACACACTCAAACGGGAGAGACGTGCAAGATCAGAAGGAATTTGGCCACTCAATGAATTTGACCTCAGATTTAAAATCTTCAGAGCAGTGTTATTACCCAAGTCAGGAGGTATTGAACCAGATATGTGATTCTTAGACAACGAGAGGACAACTAACGATGTCAAGAACCCAAACGTAGACGGTATATGACCTGAAAATGAATTGGAAGATAGATTCAAGAACTGCAAACCCATTAAGCTACTAAAACCTTCAGGAACATTTCCAGACAAGTTGTTTTCTTGCAAAGCAATCACTTGTAAACTAGGCAAACCACCAAGAACAGATGGCAATTCGCCTGATAAATTCTGTCGACTCAAATCAAGAGCTACCAGCTTATACAAAGTTCCAATGCTAGACGGGATAGTCCCTGAGAAGCCATTCTTACTCAGATTTAGAACCGATAACTGCTGAAGGTTCTCAATACCAACGGGAATACTACCTGAAAACTTGTTCCCACTAAGATTCAATGTGCTTAAATTGCTCAAAAACATCAACTCCTCAGGCAAGCTTCCCGTAAGACGGTTTCCTTCCAAATTCAAACTTTCAAGACTAGTGATATTGCTAAAACTAGAAGGGATTGAACCCGAAAACTGATTTCTTCCCATGAACAAAATCTTCAAGCTTTTAAGATCACCTATAAAAGCTGGAATTTCCCCTATGAATCTGTTCCCTTCAAGATCAAGAACATTCAAACTACTACATTTCGTTATCCCAACCGGTATATCACCTTCGAATGAATTATTTCCAATTCTCAGTTGCTCCAACCTCAACAAATTCCCAATGGAACTCGGGATTGTACCCGAAAACAAATTCCCTGACAAGTCCAAGGACGACAATGCAGAATTGTCTGTCAAGAAAAAAGGGAAATCTCCATGTATCTGATTGTGTTGAATATCCAAAACTCGCAATGAACTAAAACATCTAGACGATTGTGGGTGAAGAATCTCAGCGAAGGCATTGAAACCCAACTGAACAATCTGAAGGGAAGGAGGATACACAGAACCATTGCAGAAAAATGAAGTTGCTAAGTATCCAGAAAGCTTATTATGCGATAAATTTATCACCTGAATCTTCGGAAGAGCAGCAATCCCCGCCGGTATAACACCAGTAATACCATTCCCTTCAGCACTCAAATGCACCAACGACGAACAGTTCGAAATTGCAGAAGGAACTGTTCCTTCTAACTCATTGTAGTCAAGCATAAGATACTGAAGTTGTTGAAGCCTACCAAAACTCGCCCGAATATCACCGGAGAATCGATTGTACGACAGATTAAGCAGAATAACCTGAGAAAGGTCCGATATTTTCTCCGGTATACCACCGGAAAACAAATTCTCCGAGACATCAAAATACCTCAGATTCACCGGCAACTCACTGGGTATTTCACCATACATCTGATTTCCAGCCACATTAAACGTTTCAAGCTCAGTCAAATTCATAATCTCCGGCGGGATTTCACCGGAAAAAGAGTTATACTGTAAGAAAACAGTATCCAGAAGTTTGCATTTGGAGATTGAAGCAGGTATAGTTCCATTAAAGAAATTTGAACGAAGACTAATCTTACGCAACATACGCAAATCAGAAATCTGGGTAGTGAGAGATCCACTAAGCTGTAAATGTGGAAGACGAATTTCACTCACATAGGAATCATTTGAACAAAAAATTCCTCGCCAATCGCATGGAGCAGAAGGAGATGTAGAATCCCAACTTGTGAGTGCTCCAAGTGGGTCATGAATACTAAGTTTGAAGGATTGAAGTGCTTGAATTTCTGGGTTTTGTTGAGAAAAGCAAAAGAATGAATGGGTGAAGAGAAAGAGGAAGAAGAAGAAGAAATTTACAGAAGATGAAGAAGTAGCCATGGAGATTAAGGGTATCATTGTGAGAGTGAGACAATGAAAGATGAGTGTTATTGGCAGGGTTGCAGCTAGTTTTGGTAAGTTGCGAAATCAGAATTTTTACTAGAAAAATGACCGGGAGGGAGGAGGGGAACGGCTTCTTATAAGTCGTGGATTGAGAATTTTCACTATTTCTCTAACTCGCGCATTTAAAATTTTCACTAATGAAGGGTGAGACTGCTTATATAACTCGTTCACTCATAATCTTCACTAATGAAGAGTGGAACTGCTTCTATAATTCGTGTACTCAGAATTTTTACTAAATGAAGGGCAGAGTTGCTTCTAATAAGTTGCGGATTTAAAACTTTTATTACTAAAGAATGGAGTTGCTTCAGATACATTGTTGACTCAAAATTTTCACTAATGAAGGGTGGAGTTACTTTTGATAGGTCACGGATTCAAAATTTTCAATCGACTATGAGATTTTTTACCAGAAAAATGAAGGGTATAATTGCTTTTTATAAGTTACAGACTCGGAATTTTCATTAATAAAAGGTGGAGTTATTTTTGATAAGCTATGAACTCATGATTTTCACTAATGAAGAATGAACCTGCTTTTGATAAGTTGTGAATTCAAAATTTTCACTAATGAAAAATAAAGTTACCTCTAATAAGTGATAGATTCAGAATTTTCACTAATAAGAAAATTTATTGGCTATAAAAAAAAATCAATATTTTTCGAAAAAAATGTAATTTTTTCACTTTATTTTATGAGGTGAGTGTACAGTGTGAAGTAGATGTGGAGATTAGAGTTTTTATGAAGGAACATTTATCAAATGGCAGAATTGTGATGTGGAATTTAAAATGTCATAAATCTATGGACTATGTGGTTTAATTTGGGTTGCAAATTTTAGCCTCTTATGTGTTGAAATTATTGGTCTCATCATGACATCTTATCCAACTTATTGACTTACAACTTATACATGCTTTGATTATGTAAATTACAAAATAATACTAATTGAATATCATATTAAATGTGTTGAGTTTTATACAAAATAACCAAAAAGAAAAATATCAATATATATAGTTATGATGAATAATTCCTTTTGATAATTAATAACCAAACTAATGGAGAGTTCAATCGAAAAGACTTGTCTAGTAGGTGGGACATTTCATTTGGTCTATAGTTTTTTTAGCATTTTTCTTTTTAATTGATAAAAGACAGTTGACATACAAAATCGATCCTTTTTTAGAATCAATGACTAGTTGATCATAATTGACATCCCTCTTGAATTCAGGCCACTACTTCAATCGTGATCTCGTGTATGGATCAATCGACTATAATATCATTATTATAGACCAAGAGAGCTCAACCCAAAAGACTATTACGATACGTGGAATAACTCACTTTTAATCTGTAAATTAATTAAATGATCGTTTGGTAGTTGAATAAGAAAGAAGCTATTCATGTATTAATTTTTGCATAACTTATACGACATTTGATAGGTAGATACGAAATAAGTTATTCATGTATTAAATTAATACGATTTTGTTGATGGTTTAGAAATTTTATCATACATTGTAAGGGGGTGCTTATGTGTTATTTTTCTATTTTGGTTTCATGTGCCCTAAATAGAAAAGAATAATCTTATAATGTATAATTAAATTAATAATTATGGTGAAGTACACAATCAAATATTCCTTAAATAGTAGGGATAAAAACAAAGAGGAAAGAATATGATGTTACGTTTTCTTTTTCATATCTGATAATTATATTAAAAGTATGATTAATTTAAATTTCTGCATTAATTGTTGTAAGATTCATTGTATCAATAGAACCTTTTTCATCCTCAAAGTGTAATATTACATTAAGTGATGCAAATATTTATTTATTTTAGTTACCTACCTCTATGATTCTTTTTTATATGTAGAAAATTATTGTGAGCAATTTAATTTTCAATCCTTCTTTCTTTTTTCATCATCTTTACCAAATGTCAAAAACAAGTACTCCTTTTCTCATTTTTAGTTTGTCTTCACACAAAATTATTATTTTTTAAATTAATTTTTTTTTTAATCTTAAAAATATAATATCACTCTTATAATAAAGCATCATTAAGAGTAAAATAAAAAATTAAATATTATTTTACATATAAAAAACAACATTTTTTTTTTTGAAATTACTAATTTTTCACCTTTTATTGTTCTGTCATTTCCTTGTAACCCTTTCCACCAAATTTGTTGACTTTTGGTACTTTAGATTTACTACTTTTGAGATGTGGGTGGCCAATTAAAGGTGCACAAAAAGGAGAAAGAATGAACAAAAATAATACTACACAAAAAGGAGAAAGAATTGCACAAAAATAAAATTAATACTACATATTTTTAATTACATCTTTATACTTTATTTCCTTGATACGAGTCCATTAAGGAAATTGACTAGTATCAAGAAAATAAAGTATAAAGATATAATTAAAATATATATTAATTTTGTTTATATTATTGAGATGATACTTATCTTAGGTAGGATAATAATAATTGAGATTACAAGTATCAATATTCTTCTTTTTTCCCCATGATTTTCATATTCAATCAAATAATTTTAATTTTAATTTTTCATCCAATATTTCCTACTTGCACTTAAGCTTCGACGAATTTGAATTCGCTCTAAATGAGATAAGTTAATGTAAATTGAAAGGGAAGCAACAATGCCGAACTCTAATATTGTACTCCTTTCGTCCACTATACTAAAAATAAATATTTATTTTACTTGTCCAAATAGTTTATCACTTTATAGTTACTAACTTATCCTTATTTACCTCTAGATTATAGTCATTTGTAAAATATATTACATTCAAAGAATGATAAGTAATATTATTATTTTATTTATTGCTTTATAACAATGTGTTAAATTATATTGGACAAAATATTATAAAAAATTTGCTGACATAAAGTTCAATACTTTTTAACATAATCGAAACAGGAAAAAACTACTACTTGTTATAAAGTCTCCCTGGTAAAGGGTAGATACAAAGGACCACAAAAACCCAATAATTGTGTTGACATTATATTCATTACGTTCTGTCTACTTTTATTTCTCAATCTTATATTTTTCAAAAGCCAATTTAATTAATTTTTAAAATTATATTAGATTTCATTAATTCGATATTTTAAATAAAAAAATTAGATAATAAAAAACTATACGAAAATACTATAAATTGTAATTTTTTGCATATCAAAAATATATATATAAATATATAGTCAAATGTTAGTCAAGTTTCTTATAATCGGACTTTAAAAAAAAGAAAATTATGATAATTAGAAGTGGACGAAGGGAGTATCTTACTCTGTTCTTCTATTAAAGTCAATAGGCAGGCAAATGTGATAGCTACAAAGATACATTAAATATCATTTTTGCTTCTGTTTTAGGCGGGAGTTTATTCAAATTATTCTATTAAAATTCAAAAGTCCGAAGTTAAATAAATAATTAAAATACAAAAATGATTATTTTTATTTAACTAAAATAGATAAATTGTTCAAAACTTATATTTAATCTAATTGACGGCCAAACAGTTGTTCGATTTTACAATTTTTTTTTTGTTCAATTGTTGAGCGACATATTGAACAGAAAAAAATTCATCAGATAAATGGTCGCTTGATTGTTAGTTAAATTAAGGACAAGTCATTCAATTTTGTGCGATTTGTCCATTTTGATTAAATATTTTTTTTTTAAAAAGGTGATTCTTCATGCATTTTAATTTTAAAAATAGCCCTTTTGATTTCAAACTCCAACAAGCTTGGTATAGGAATATTATATGTTTGACAACTGAAAGGATCGTCTTAATAAGATTGAGGATCACAAGTCAGATTTTAAAAACACCTTAAATTTTGAATATACAATACATCCTATTATAAAGTTGATTTCTTCGTAATACGAAATGAAGTTGAAATAGAAAGTTACTTAAAAAGAGAACGACGCTAGAAGAAATTTGTAATACGCTATTACACTCAAGATCTAAAATCAATAAAATTAAGATGATAATTATCTCAAACATCTAATAATTTTTTTGAATATTCATAAAAATATCAAGATACTACCAGATTCAATCTTGACAGTCAAACACTTCAAGAAGATTCACAAAATCCTCTTTACATTAAATAAATTCCAAAAAAGTCCAAATCATTCTACGTTCGAGAAATAGAGAACTAACAGTTTTCGAATCACGAAAAAAATCTATAAAACTTCCTCAATAACATTTCTTTATTGAATCTCCTTGGACTCCCATAATGTTGTAAAAACAGAGGATTCTGGTTCCTTAATCCAACCCCAAAGTGCTCTAAACATGTTTATCAAATCAATTAATGTAAAAAATATCAAAGAAACTGTTAGAATTATAAAAATAACAACAAATAACAAGCCAAAAATTATGTCTATTTTATCAATTTTCCCCAAATGTCCTGATTTAAAATGTGAAAAAACATTAATTAAGAAAATAATTAATAAACCTGTAATTAATCCAGAAAGTAGAGTCAATATTGCTCTGCATATGAACTTGAAGGCATAATGGCAAGGCTTGTTTTCTCTTTTTGAATTATTATTATTCTCCATCTTTATTTGTAACATTGTTTGGAATTTTTTTTCTATGGTATTAGAAGAAGAAAAATAATACACTAGTACCAATTTATGCAATGTAATTTGACTTGACACTGATTTTAAGAAAGAAAGATTTTTTTTTTTTTTGAAACTGACTAAAAAAAAAAAAAGAGTTAATAAATTGAGTCAGAGGGAATAAGAAGAAGCAAAATTGAATTGGTAAATTATTGATAACCTAACAGTAAAGCAATAATTTTAAGGGAAGTAATATAGATTATAAGGTAAGGTAATTAAGCTCTAAAGAAAATATTTGATTGGGGATTTACTTACTTGAAATATCATATAGGGATTTTATTTATGGTTTGATTTTTATATGCACTTGATATAATTGAGGTGGCACGTTGCTTTGAAATATCATATAGGAATTTAATTATGATTTGATTTTTATACCCCTTCTCAAATAGTCATTGTAGTGATTAGGGTGAGCGATTTAATAGAATTCAATAGGTTTGAATAGTGTATTATATTTATATATTAAAAATATACTCCTTCCATTTCTTATTAATTGAATTTTTGAGGCATTTTTCATTTTTTAAATTAACTTAATTATTCAGTTTTCGAGATTACTTTTAGAGTGTTGTTCCAATTTCACCATTCATTTGGATTTTCAATGTGATGACTTCAACTTTAATAAATTTGACAATAATTAATAAGGATACAAATGGAAAACTATGTTCAATTTATGTCTTAATTTACTTTTTTTTAAAGGGTGTGAAACACCTGAAAAATTCAATTTATATGGAATGAAGGGAGTACTAAATAGATAAAAATAATACTGTAACCCAAAAATTAATAAATTGTAAAGACTTTTGGATTCATTTTTTTTTGGGGGGTGGGGGGGGGTGGGGTTTAAATATATCAAACGTTTCTGAAAATTAAATCAAAGAAGTACCGTGTATCAATTAGTTGAGAGAGAATTATTGAAAACTCTCTTGACATAAATTATTGGTTTCGTTTTTAAACTATTGACAATCTTAAAAATATTTCTCTATTTGACAAATTAAATTTAGATACACCCCCGATCTTCCATGACATAGTAAGTGATCTCAAACTCTTGTAGGAGCATGAGACTCTTAATAAAAAATCGAGAGAAGTGTTGAAAACACTCTTAAACTTGGCGAGAATTTAAGGGTATATTTCACTCATGTTACAAGATCGGGGGAGTATTTAAGTTTAGTTATTAGTCAAATAAGGGGGTGTTTTAAAGTTGTCAATAGTTTGGGGATGAAGCTAATAATTTGCGCAGAGTTTAGGGGTATTTTCAGTATTCCGGTCATGATTTTTTTTTTGCTTTTCCTGAAATTTCATTTTTACTTTATTTGAAAATCAGTATTTATTTTCAGTTTTGTCACTTTTAATTTTTCTCTTTTTAAATTTACTTTAAATTTTTTGTTTTTATAAAATAATTCCATTTAAATTTATTTCATGTTTAAATAATGTTTTATGCTTTTTTTCAAATTCTAAATATATCAAACACAATTTTAATTAAAACTTTGAAAATTTCAAATAATTTCTCATTAATTCTGGTATTCTGAGAGAAAATAGAGAATGCACACCCCATTCTTGAAGGCACTTTGGCAGCTTCCTCACCAAATGAATCATGAAATGAGCGATTAATAAAAGTTGCGGTGAAATGATAAATATTATTATTGTTGAAACAGAAAATTAAGTCGCTATAGCAAGCTTAATTAATACGGTAACTTAAAAAGATCTTTTTATGGCTACTAAACAATTGAAGTGATTGAACAAAATATTGGATTGATTCAATATCGAATCTCAAATTTCTATATATAGATGACTAATGATAGGGGCTGCATTTTACGGAAAGAAAGATAATGACAAAAGGTCATTAATGTTTTTCTAAGTTTTCGTTGTTTCTTGACTCATGTCATGCTGGATTTAAAGAAATAGAAATGAAAGTCTAATTCGGCTAGAAACAATTGAATATGATTTATTTTTTTTAAAAAAGAGAAGTTTATGACTCAAAAAGTAGTAGCTAGGGTCGGAGCTAAGAGTTCATCCGAACCCCCTTCGATGAAAAATTACATTATTTATATATGATTTTTTATTTTTTTTTATGTATATATAGTAAATGTTAAACCGCCTTCAAATTGTTGGTATGTTTATTTTTTCAAATTGTGAATCTCCTTAGTGAAAATCTTGACTCCACCACTAATAATAACAAAATAAAATAATCTCTTAATTACTATAACCGATTAAATCAAATATACCAATTATATAAAAATTCTTTACACTATCAATATATAACTTAAATCCTTTTGCATTCACTTTTACACAACTCCAATTAAATAAGAAGATGTTATATATCATACACATGTTTGTCCTATAGTACTCAATGACATGAACTTTCCAAGAAGGTTCCTAAATATAAGTAGTTGAATACTTGAAGTTTTCCATTACATGCACTTATAAATAAGAAACATCTTAGGCTAAGTTGATCATCCTAACACAAATATTTATTTCAAGTTACATAATATAAAGTGAAAAAAAAAAAGAGAGAAAAAAGAAGAGGAAAAAAAGATGAATATGGAGATTGAGGAAGTGATGAGTTGCCAAGCTTTGCCTCTACTTTCTTTGAACCATGTTTCTTTGTTGGTGAAGGATGTGTGGGATTCTAAGAGGTTTTATGAAGATGTTTTGGGATTTTGTCTTGTCAAACGCCCTTCTTCTTTCAACTTTCATGGAGCCTGGTTAGTATCGATTCAGAATTTAAACTTTATGCGTCTTTTTTTTTTGAGTCTTTATTACTGAACACATCACATTTTTGAAATTATGCATGATTCAAATTTTAATATATATGCTAGTTTAGTAAATTGATGGATTTCTACTTGCGAAAATAGATATACAACAACTATGATTTGAGTCATCGTTCATCGAATATCTTCACGATACCTAAGAACTACCTTTGTTCACTATCTAGATACCCTATTGTGAGGCAACTTGAAAGTGTTACCCCTAGTCATTGTTTGTTTCCCACATGAAGTTAATGCTAGAAATTTTTTTATATTGAAAATACTGAATTCAGTTGAACTCAGTAATTATATACTCCATCTGCATGCATATAGATATCACCAACAAATTATGTTGGGGCATATTCATAAACTTTTGAAATGTTTTAAGAATTTGATAGAGTTTTAACTTAGAAATTTTGAAGGCTTTACAATTATGGCATTGGGATTCACTTGCTTGAGAATAAAACCATAGAGGACTTGGACATTAATGATGAACCACGTCCTATTAATCCTAAGGATAACCACATTTCCTTTCAGGTGAATTATATTTAGTTTTTCTTTCTTAAATATTAATACTATGTTCAGTCAAATACGATCAGATATAAACTGAAACAAAGAGGGAGTATACAATTTCCTTTTATTATTTTATTTTTTATAATGATAATATTCAAGCTAACTTGCACTATTCAAAAAATAGGAAGATAGAATTGAAGAAGAAAGGTTTTAACGTGATACCAATCCTTAAAAGAGATATATTGCTAGTATATTATTTATTAGGGGGTTACAAGCAATTCCATTTGCGATCCAACAAAGCCTTAGTATATTTTTCTTGAACTACTTCAGCAGAATCCTTAGTTTTATAGAACTTAAGAGATAATTTTTCATAATAGTCATATTTTTTCACAAATAGATGTGTTTGTGTTCAATTTTAAGACCTCCAAATATTACAAACTAATTCAACATGCACGTTCTTCAATTATTCCTCTAGATAGTTATTACCTTGTTACTTCCCACCAATACAAGTACTCCGTACGTAACTCTTGCCCTTAGATAAATGGGAATAAACCATCCACTATAACATGACTTTTTGTATCTTTGAACCTGATTATTGTCGTACTTCATCGACAACTAGACCACACGATACACTTACTATGACATTTTTTTTTGTTATTGATGATATGACATGTTTTTGTATTAAACAGTGTACTGATGTTGATTTGGTGAAAAGGAGATTAGATGAGATGGGAATAAGGTATGTGATTGCATTAGTAGAGGAAGAAGGGATCAAAGTGGATCAAGTATTTTTGCATGATCCAGATGGCTATATGATTGAAATGTGCAATTGTGATAACATTCCAATTGTGGCTATTTCTTCAAGTTGTCACTTCATAAAGCCCAATAAATTTGGAACTTACAATGACAACATAATGATGCCAATTGCTACTCCAAATTATAGTTGTGGTTTTATGGAAACTCTCATGATGGAGAACTTAAGCATGGACATGCTCAACTTTTCCTTCTAAAATTCTAGTCATGGGGGGTGGGGGTGGGGTGGGTGG